TTCCATCAACATCGTAGCCCAACCAATAAACATTTCAAGCAAATACAGAAAGACAAAACATATCAGGTCCATTTACACTAAGAAAAACCAGACGCGTATTAGAACGTCTCGTGTTAATGGCACAAAAAAATATTTCAAACACGTCTTATGCAAGACGCGTCTCATTCTCCCCCGTATAAATGGCCTAAGCGTTCGTAAAATAATGCCTAATAATGTGTGGATTTTGATTACATTTGCCCCAAAACAAACCATGCTCAATATTTGGCATGGAAACCAGAAGGTTACTGTTGCGCAGTTCATGTACCCACCTGGGAAGGCTGAAAACTTTGAATACCATGACCTTGGTCTTAATGAAGTACTTTTTAACACAGACAGTATACGTGGATGCACCCGCGGTTCCCACAGCAGTGGCCGAAACTCAAACACTCAAGGTCATTTACAGCACAGCTGAGATACAGACACTGGTTGTACGGACACAGAGTGCCAGCATGCTCACAGAGCCCGAACCGGAAATAGAGCAAGCGGATGTCATGGTGCAAACGGAAGCGGAAGAACCGACGCCGGTTGGAGATGCAAATACCCAGACCATAAATGTAACAATAACCGAGAAAGATGTGCAGACAGAAAAAACGGCAATGATTAGCACTCATATTCAAACAGAGGGGACGAAAAATAGTCATGCGCAAGTCCAGACGGACGACGTAAGTAAAGTTTGATTGAATTCCAAACGGACAACGTAAGTAAAGTTTGATCGAACTCATCGCCATCGTTAGTATACCAGTGTATTAGTGGATCCTGACTCTCTTGGTCCAAGCGTTTGTCATTAACCAGTCGGAACCTTAATAATCATCCTACATTCTTGGCGCACAAACCTTAAAATGTACCCTCGCTCGGCTAAAATGATCGTAGTCCAGGCCCCGGTTGTTTGAAAGGTGGATAATGCTATCCCCTGGAAATATCTCTGTCCAGTGGTTAACGCAATAGGTTTCCCATATACAGTAAAACCTCGATATAACGAAGGGCTAAGGGACTGGCAACATTTGTTCGCAATAACTGGGTTCTTTTTCATGTATTTCACCATGACAGGGGGTAAAAAAGATCGTTCGTTTTACCGAGGACTTTTTATATAGAGGTTCGTTATACATCGAGGTTCCACTGAACCTATCGACTGGATAGTGATTTATCCGTTGGATAGCGCTATCCGACGTTTGAAGAACAGGGGCCAGGACTTTGAAGTCACAAATCCTTCATATGTCACTGGTGTCATAATTAACCGACAAATTAATGCCAGCGATATTTGACGTCACCCAAGGGTATATCCGTGTCCAATCTCCAGGGGCACCTAACGACCGAATGTTTCCAAATACGCCAGAAGTGTCTCAAATGGTTTTCTCTGTGTTTTCGTCTCATCCGAAGTGTTAGCTACCCTTATGGGTCCGGTCGAAACTACGAAGACATGAATTAGCCTTGCTTTCATTGGGAAATTTTAGGGGACGTTTTGTCTTTACATTGAAAGTTTTACGAGACCTTTTTTCAACAACAATCGTAATATCTTGGTATTAAAATGTGACTGACACAACCTCCGAAAATCGTAGTTAAGCTATTAGAAAATGTCCGAATATTTTAGACGAATGGAACGGTTATCCAGAAAGTTTTAGCTTTTCACAAGCTTTAGAAATTTCTACGCAATATTTACTCCTTCTATCAGTTATTTTACAGTATAAAGTCGCTAGGTGCCCTGAATCTCTCGGATACTAATTTGAAGAATTTCGGCCACCTTAGAATGGAAAAGAAATCACAGACGAATCTTCAACTGCTACAATATTGCACTTGCAGTTAACTCAGCTGCACACGTGATCCAACTTTATGTTGATGTTTTTGCTTCAATTTCATGCATTTACAGCCGCCACCTTCCCCGGACATTTTTAGTGAAGAATCAGATACGGCCAGTATAGCGAGCAGTATAACTACAAGCCCGAAGCCAGAAAGAAAAGCAAGAAAAAAGAAAGTCTTCAATGTTCAACCGAAAATTGACACGAACTTATCTCCAAGACGTAAAGAATTAGTGGCTAAGTCGTCCCCTATTACCAAACCTACTTTGAGAGTACCCACGACACTTCACAACTCAAGAAGTAGAGAGAATTTGTCTTTATCTCCGAGATCACGTGAGCCGTCACCTGCCCGTGGCGGCAACAGATGAAAGCTGTTGTCTGAAATTGAACACCTCAAAAGAAGTGCGTCCGTCAGATAGTAATGTTAGAAAATCTCACGCGCTTTAGCTGGAACAAGTAGTTTGTCCGTTCGTATAAAAGTAGTTTCTTCTGGCCACGTACTTGGTGTTTCACCTTTGAAGACCTGCATTTATACAAAAACTAAAACCACTTTTGCCAAAACAATACTTTCGGGTATTTAAAATGCTTTTTCTGGATATCTGTAAGGAAAAAAAGTATCAGCAAATAAATTCAAGATCGTGGAAAGGAGTATTAAGTCGATAAAGCGTTGCGTTCCGTCATACTTTGTCCACAATTCGCCTTGTTTCCCAACCTCTAAATTTAAAGCAATTAGATGTAAGAGTCGAAGATAGCGTTTATATTAACGTAAAAAATAATAAGCTCTTTGTTTATTTTTAGGACATATTTGCCTTATTCGCATTTCACATAGTCGGGAGTGGCATCCCTAGGAATCCACGTGCCGTCTCCCTTTTCAATATTACATTAATTTTTGAGCCTGAAAGAAGATAGGGATATATAGAACAGTGCAAGCAAGTTATGTTAATTAAAGGTCTTAATAGAATCGATGTTGCCAGCTCGTTTAAAACTGACCAGAAGCTTCTGAAATCTCCCATTTTAGGACAGAAGTCAGCGCCATTTTGTCAACTGATGTGCGTTCTTCCAGCATGAAAAGGAAAGACAACACCCATCTTTAAAAACTAACTACTCCCCTACCAAACTGTCTTGACAAGTTTTTTCAGCACAAGTCAGGTGATTGATAGCCTGTGAACAGGCTCTCTGTTCGGGGAAAGGGTGAAAAAATCGTGAGGAGAGGGAAGGGAAAGGGTGAGAGAGTCTGTTCACAGGCTAGTCGATTGACAGAAAACTACAATGGCAAATAAAGCTTCCAAATAACTTAAGCCTTATATTTGATGAGCTCAACAACTAACAGTACATCTTAGCAGTATTTTCCCCTGCCTTTGAGTTGTACTTCCACAAAATAATGACAGTGCCTTAGGAACATTTTCTTGGCCAGAAAAGACTCATCTTTACAAGTCTCCCCATGCTTTGGAAATGTTTTTGACCTAAGAGTAGAGTACCAACATTAACCACATCATGACTGGTCCCATGGGAAAGAGTTAATTTTGTTTCCCCAGAATCTCAATGCTGCCAAGGGAAGCACTGATATTCTAGGGAAACAAAATTAACTGTTACCCAAGTGATCAGTCTTTAAGTGATTTGTTATATAGCTGGAAATTCACTTTAAACCTAGCTGTGACAGTGGTCATTGGTCAACATTTGCAGGTAGCAGTGTACTGTTACCCTCTGACTTCATAGATTTTGCAATGTTGCCCACTCCTTTTGGCAGGAAACAGTTTCATTGTTAGATTTCATGTGACCTCGAAGTAACCAATGAGAGTATGCACTGTTGGGAATAAATTCCCAGGTATATAACAAAAGAGAGATGTGTTACAGCTGGTGATGAACAATTAAAAAATTCTCTTCAAAACCAACTTTTCATCTTTCTAGGTGGGGAGATGTTACAAGAGTGTTCAAGGCGTCAATGCCAGACACTCTCATGCTTTCACTTTCCTCTTAGATCCAAATCAGAAGTAGGCTTGATTTCCGCCACAGTTTCCCGAACAGTGGCTGGTAATCGAGCCTAAATCAGAAGCATATATGTGCTTCTGTCCAAATATTACCCTGCCTATAGAAAATAAAGAGAATTCCAAAATTGGATCATCTTGCTTTGGCTGGTAGCACTTCCACATTAAGTAATGATGCTGGTAAGAAGGGAAGCAATTTCTTTTGTTATGGCGCAATACACTTTCCTCACATAAGGATGTTTTCATTTTTACACAGAGAATACGTAAACCTACAAAAAGGCAGCCTATGGAATAAAATGTATTTAAACTCCATTTTTAATACGTGTTTTTTTTTCAGGTTCACCAACAACAAACTGTATAAAATATCCTTATTAAAGTCCAGTTTACAATCACAACCAAACAGATTTTTTTTTCAATTCAATAAAAGAGATTTAAACACAGTCTGTGCTTGAAAAGTTTTTTTTTTCAATTGACCCCCAGAAAGGGGAGGGGGTGGGGGGGGGGGGGGCAGTATTTTCCAACATGGGGCTACAGCTGTACTCTTCAAGAGGGAAATGACCAAAAGGTTAAGCTAGGGGAAATAAAACCAAGCTGCCGTTAAGGCAACAGAACCAACAGCCAATGTCGTCAATGCCTTTCTCAAAAAATAATACCAAACTGGGAAGTGAGGGGTTTTCACATCCTTAAATAAAGCAAAGGCAAGTCAAACACA